ATTTATTATTATTATTATTATTATCAATATTTAAAACAGGTGAGTACATTTTTTTCCAGGATTCTTTGATGAATAGAAAGATCCAAAGATCGGCATTTATCTGAAATAAAAAGCTTTTGTAACATTACCTATATATACATACAGTATAGGTCTACACACACACAGTTTAGTTTCCATTATAATTCTATCCTATACTGTGGAAAAAGCACTTTGACATTGGTGTGGATATAAAAAATACAGTTTTTATGATAGCAGCTAAAACATTAAAAATGCCACATGTTTCATATTTTCCTCGGCCTACATTTCATTTTAAAATCTGGATGAAATCCATGTTAATTGTCATACCATTTCATAATAGACCCACAGGAGGTGCACACACCCAGTTTGTATCCTTCAGTAGATGACAGCATGATGATCTCATTTCCGGTCGGTCCCTTCATCAATCAGCCGGTGGCGCGCTTGCTCGTGTTTTTAGAGCTCGCGCAGCATTCCACACGCGCTGAGAGCGGGATCAACGCGCACAACAACAACAGCTCGCGGACCGTTTACTGAGCTGTTTTCTGTTTAAGAGCCTCTTATAAGAATCCACAGCGTGATAATTTCAGCCCAAATCCCAGCAGAGAGTCACCGTGGAAGATGGGTTCAGTCCCGGCCGTATCTGTGCTCATTCTGGCCATCGCTGTTCCGAGTCTAGCCGGATACGTTGAGGTACGTGCGCACTAACGTTTCACCCTTGTTTTCATAATTATCTTGCGTCGTTTACTCCGATATTTATGTACCGAGACGTCTTTTTATTGTGATATCAATATTTCTGGGTAAGTAGTAGTTTACTAATAATGTTAAGCTTATAAAATCATTAACGTTAGTCTGTTGAGACACTTTCAAATTTCCGTGTCCCTTGTTGTGTAATATTTAGACTAATTGTATACCAGAAAAGACACTAATTCTAATTTAATATGAAATAGTAAATGAGTGTTATTTTGTAAATTGTCCCTGGATGGAGTTAAACAAATAAAAATGTCTTTCTTTAGACGAGCTGTGGAGGTTAAATGCCTTTATCTTTTCACTGTAGTATTTATCTCCGTTGTTTATTTCTGTTGTTGTATTGGAAAACTGAACCTCAAACAACATTGATTTGATCATAGTGTCAGTTTGAAGTCCTCAGTAGCTAATATCTGAATGTACACGTATGTTTTTAAAACCTTTAGATACCCTCAAATCTTTTTTTAACCAATAATGTTAGTTTCTGTTTTAATTTTTGCATTATTTCATGAACGCATGGATTATAACTGTGGTCTTACATTGGAGAATATCCACACTTTTCCTTGATGACAATTACAGAAGAGACCTTTTAAAGGTTTGCATCTACTCTGAGCTTTGGCTTGGTGGTGCAAAATGACAGAAAAACAAAAAATGAAAAGCATCAAGATGGGCAATCAGCTTCAAAATATTTGATCACACTATATAACCGAAATGATTCAGATCATTATACATATTCATCAGAAATGGCTTTCAGGTGTTTGGTCTGATCGGTGTTTCTGACAGGCTTTAGGTGATAAATCACTCCCCATGTTAAAGGACAAGTTTGTATTTGTCGGAGAACACTGCCATCAGGCTTGTGAAACGTGTCGGTTGCTTTCACAGTAGGCAAATTATGCAAATGAATTCATGTAAGAGAGTCAAGTTTATGGACTCAAAAGCTCTCACACCTTTCCTGGATGATCCCTATCTGGTTGCTTTAAACGTTACCTAATCACAGCTGCCCTTGTCCTAGAGGCGTTTTTGTGCTTTTACTTGTGCACCAAAGTCCTTTCCGATGGCATGCTCTTCCAATAAGAGCTCAGCCTGCAGGCATGAGATAACAAATTATGAAACAATTCTTTTCAGTGCCAGAAATAATGGCGGTGACTCACTGAAATAATAATCTCTTTGTTGCTAATTGATGCATTTAGAGAGAAAGGAGCTGCCTGTGGTTCACCATCATGAGGAGGTGCGGTGATGTTTATGGATATGCATAGATCAGCATTACTGTAGAAAATCAAAGAATCATTTTACCTTCAGATCAATATTATGACCCTATTGTATTTCTGTATATTCTGTTCTCTTTTGTCTTTGTTATACATTTGACTCCTTGTATCCTTGATTGTTTTGATCTGATAGCTCCTCAAGCGTACGATTACCGTGGTAAAATGTTATTTTGAGAGAGGTGTGTGTTTCCAGACTGTGTGCAGCTTTGTGTTTCTGGTCAGTGGGAGTTTGATGCTGAGCTAGTGAGTCTCGTTGACCTCAGACCTGATTTATAACCTGGCCGGAAAAGTTCTGCAGAGGATCTGCGCAGCCCTGAGCTCTCGCTAACTAAACTGCAGGAGAACTGCATGCATTGAAACCTTTAGTTTCTCCCTCCCAGTGCTGGTGATGGGAATTATTCCCTTGCTTTTGCCAGGTGTCATTGTATTTTGCAGGAGACAAAGGCAATGTGTTAAAATCACACTGGGCTGTCGGATCATTGATGCTTTGCTGTTAACTCTCTGAAGCTGGTGCAAGCTTGGATTTGGCTTTTTTTGTTTTTGTTTCCTCAGCTGTGGATATGTCCCTTTTTTTATTTTGTTACAGCCGTATGTTATATAACCATGACACACTGGCCCCGAGACCAAACTGAAACAATTTGCTTGGTTTTACCTGCATATTTTTAAATTAAGTGACTGAAT